TCTACTTGTCCCGTTCTGATATCAAGGGTTTGAAGGAAACGAAATTCGCAACAGGGATAGAAATTCACCGACTGTTTCGATGAGCCATTAAAATTGCCTTGCTGCCCTCGATGTACACATGTACTGTTGTTGCAAAGTATTTGTACAGTATTTATAAAAAGACATCTCAGTTACGATTCCATATTTTGTACAGGTTTATACGAAAATGGCACTACACAGTACCGTAAATCTAACTTGTTCCTATTTTTCATTGACAAATAGAATTTGTGATGTAAAATAAGTAAAAACAGGGTAATTTGTCATGTCATATGACAACAGGCCATTCAAACAGCTGTTCAGGTGCTGTTTATATTATACGTGCATAAAACGTAATACTAAAACAATTAAATATTCTTAATAGTGTATTTTCTTTAGTTGTGATGTACATTGTTAACAAATTAATAGAGGTAAATCTATTTTAATCGTCCAGCATAAGATCAATGCAAATATTGGTTTTATGTCTGCTTTTATTGAAGTGGTGCTTAATAGGTTGAACATGCACAGTATTTAGTATCACAAAGGTCAGTATGGGTCAACACTATCCAAATATTTTTTTAAGATGGCAAAAACCACAGCTTTAAACTAGCATTTAATAAAAAGAATCATATTTCTGAGAATATCATTATACCTTGAAGGAAACTTCCTGTATATCTATATAGGAAGTCATTGAAATTCCAAACAAATCAATATCACACTATTAAATAGTACTATAACACTTAGCCAGATCAATTGATCAATTAAAAGCCAAGTTTAAGTAGATAAAAGTCTAGACAAATAGTAATGAACCCCTGGGAGATTACTGTTGCTATGGATACATAAGACAGGAGATATAAAGGTTTCACATCGGTAATACAAATTGTTAATTGTCACTACTGGAAACATTTACTAATTCATATTTTGAGAGCTTCTGTGATGAAATATGTTTATGAAGGTCGCTGTGACTCTAAATATAGTAATAATATTTCCTGAAAGTTTCCCTGATTCCCTGACTTAAAGACCCCAGTGAAATATTCACACCTACAAAATTCACATAAATTCTTGAAAAAATTGAAGCAGTTTTCAAATTTTAAATTCACACAGAATTTCATTAAACCATAATTTCTATTCCTAAGGTCTATGATTACACACATCCGTGACTACGATTTTAGAAGTGTTAAGTAAATACCCGTTGGCACCAGACTTACCCAACAGTGAAGCTGAAATCAATTACAAGCAATCAGACAGGGTCCCTCGAGTTTTATTAATTATTCTATGTGTTGAGAATCTATTTTTATTTCTAGCAGAGGTCATGAGGTCATTTATAGAAGTGACATTCCGTAACCTAATGCAACGTGTATAAAGGTAGTGCAGAAGAAGTTGCCGGCCGCATACCCAGACGAACCGCAGTATTCAATTTATAATGAGATATCATAAACATATACCACTAAGTTGAAAATGATCTTTCAAACATACATTCATAATTAATATTCACAACTTGTCTATAATGTGGATATTCATAGTATTGGTATGCTGGATAGTGTTCATTTCATATCAGGATACAAGTGTACAGTAACAGTATGTAAAACATAAAATATTTTTTTTTTTTAGAAGCGCACTATAAGCCAAATAAATTAGTTTAGGTGAGATTTTGAATTAAATACTGTAGAACCATTTATTTTCACTGACATTTAATTTCACTGATTTAATTCCATGAATTTGTCAAGGAAACAATGAGTTTAATTGTTATTTTTCGTGTTCACGAAAATTTAATTTACCGAAAGTGGCGAAATCAAAATCCAGTGAATAATTAATGCATTTACAGTATACCAAATATAGATGGGACAATTTAGACAGTAAAGTTAACAGATTATTTATGTAAATAAATATGTGCTTTTAATTACTGTAGACTGATTTAATTTTGAAAGAGACAACATTTTGTGAGTCAAGAAAAATTAAATTTTGTAGCATTCAAATTTTCTCATGACACAAAATGTTACTGCAACATTCATGGAATTTTTTCTTGACACATACCATGGAAACGTCAAATCGCAAATATGTTGTAGGGTTATGTGCACTTCTAATGAAGCAGTAACTTTAATATTAATTCTCATATTCTGAATTGATGTTATCAGGAGAGCGAGAAAGCAAAGGGAGATTAATTTAGAAATGAAGTCAGTCATGCAAAGTAAAATACCATAGGCATTCTATTTAGTTTTACAATACGGTAATTAAAAACTGATTAGCCAAACAATAGTAACGTTCAATGATATGCAGAGAACAAAGTCATTTCTTGCGATCTATTTAAATATGGAAATTTTTTATCTGATGAGTCATCAACTGTAATACAATTTTTCGGTAATTTGACTCGAAAAACATACTACATTGTACATGTACAAAATTCACTCAATGGCAACGGTCATTTTGCAATTTTCAGACAAAATCAATGATGCCCAGTCTGTCATATCCACCAATGGTAAGCAGGTGTTGATAACTAAATATAAATGCATATACAGGATACAGGGAAATATCACAAAAGAAATTATTCACTAGGACTTCAATGAACATTTACCCTTTGAACTTTACCCCATTACCCTTTGAACTTTACCCCTTAACCCAATTCAACAACAAATAAACCCACATATTGTATATGTATTTTTTTCCATATTTTAAAATTTTTTAAAAACATTTTAGAAATTAAAAATAATATTGACAGGCAAAAGGTTTAGTACCGATGTTAATAATTATTTTGTAATACAAGTACATGTAATAAGATGATCAATGTACTATTAAAAAAAGTTTTAATTTTTCACTATTTGGAGATAGTTGCTATTTACTATTATAATGGTGTTCATAAGGACAGAATTTCAAGAAAACTTCAAGATTATGTCTTTTGGACCCGAGTGAGATTATCACTACTACGACATTTTGCGATTCACATTGACTCACAAACTTTGCAAAAAATAATGTCCCGCGTGAAATTAACGCCGTTTCCAGCAGTTCAGTGCATACAGGTATAACATACGTGAGGTCACTTGTAAAGGTCATTCATGTGAATTGATCAAACTGAGTTGCCAAGCAAAGGTTATCCATAGTTCAACTTTACAGGAATAATGGTCATCTCATTGACAGCACCTCACCTCTTTTTATGATTATTATTTACTACTTCCAGGGGGTTTTCAAGAAAAAGAGGGAGCGCTGCAATTCAGCAGAGCCACCAAGTGGGGGAGATAGGGTGTGAAGTTTTTGATAATTCTAAGTTAAAATTGAGCATTCTATGGCCAAAATTACTAAAAAATGCCACTTCTATCAATTTTCAGATATTATCATCAAATATTTACGTAGCCTTCAGATTAGCCGGAAATGTTTCAACTCAATGACGTCTTGCAAGCCGTGTTGGTCAATACTTTAAATGAACACGTTTCAACACAGTTGGAAACTGGAATACAATTCACATAGTAGTATGTAACCTGAATCTGAAATAACTATTGATGACGTATCACATTCATCACACACAGGGCTCATACCACTAATTGAATTTCCATAGACGACAATGTTAACATATGACGAGATTGCTATATGAAAATGACGAAGAAAGTTGAAAATATGGCTCAAAAATGGGAAATCAACATGCCAGTAATCAACCATATGAAAAAAACTAACATGTTGGCCAGCTCAAACTCTTGCAAATCTCAGGTAAACAAGACACACCTACTGTATTTGGATTGCACCAAGAGAAATCACTGGAAAAACACCAAGATTAGAACATCCATTAACACACAGAATAAACCCACAGGTACACAGCCGCTAAGTAGTAAACAAAAGACCACATGTTGGTCTCACCTCTGACCCAGGTGATTACGCCCTCAAACAGGGAGCACCTGAGAAAAATAATATTTAAAAAATTTCATTGGTTCTTGCTGGGCATTTAAATTGAGGGCTACGAGCAGCCATTGGTTAATTAGTGGCATGAGACCTTCACAGAGATGTCATATCTTTGATCATGTACAAAAGTGGAAACATATTCAGACTTTATACCGTATTCACGATTCTGACGCTAACTTGGAAGTGCAAGTATTTACTGATACTATTACTATCCTGACCAAACAAGTATATCCGTCTTTTGTAGTGAGGAAGTTACAACAAAGACATACATGTATGTGTCACCACACCACAGTGACAATGGTTCTAAGTTCTGCAGCTGCACGCATGACATTACCGGGGTATTTCAGTACAAACGGCCAGAATATTCATTAGCATAAATAAGTTTAGTTACCATTCATCTCATTACCCATCAACTTTTGTCGATTCCCCCCAAAATAAAACCCAAATAAATTTTTTTTTATATTTTGATCACTACAGGTAACCAATAAGGAATCATGTCTATCAGGCTTAAAATTACCAAAAAAATGATTGAAAATACAAAAATTTTGGCGGGAACAATTTTGGCACCAAAATAGGTTGCAGTAAACTCTATTTTTATGTTATTTATCTTGTTTCAAGTCATGTCTAAATGCAGTTTTCCTTCATCATCTACACCTCATTAGAGTAAGAAATCAGATTAAAAATAGTTTTTCGCTGGCCCCCTCGCAATTATATTTCATGAAAAACTAGAATTAAAAATTTATAATTTATGTTTACAAGAAGCAAATGAATCAGATCAGTAAATCTTTTACTTTACCAGAGTAATGTGAATTAGTAGACAAACAAACACTGACAACTTGCAGTGAGATGTTTCAAGTCCAGCTGTTGTATTAAGTTTTTCTTTGACTTTCCGACCAATAACATACCAAATTGGATACACAACACAAATCAATAAACACACCGCAAACCCAAAGAGATTATTCTGCGTTAGAGTTGCCTGGCTTGTGTTTGCAGCATGTTCACATAGTGAGTTAAATTAATGTTAAGAAAAGTAACTAAAAGGAATAAGACCTTAGTTACAAAATTAGCAAAGAACAGAGTAAAAATGTACAAAGCGTTACCTTTCAAAGTCTTCACACTGTATTTCAGCAACACTTCTTTGTGTTGGTTCTTCCACCTAGATAAAAGTAAATATGAATATTTCGATTTGTCCAAAGAATTAATTTTTACAAAACTGCTGGTAAAAAAGTTAAGACGATGTAGTCAACTGCCAAGTAATCTTAATTTGCGATTAGAGAAGCAAGTGTCAATGGTGATTCAATTCTTCGCCGAAAGCGACTCAGTTAGAAAATATGTTTCCTCCGAACAAAGTTTACCTCTTCCGAATCTATAGTGCCAGGCGCCATTGGTGTGGGTATGATAAAAATCGTTTTGCTTTCTCAAACGCCAAAGTGTTGATGTTGTCTTGTCACAAGATTAAATTGAAATGAAATAAAGTTGCGCCCGCTGAGAGTTTTATACTTCCGAGTGACGTTATCAATAAACAGATCGTGGCGCCGTTTCCCAGAAGTGGGTTTTCCCGCAATGTAGTTCCTCACGTGCGACATACTAGTACATGTATGACATAATTGCTTGTCACTCCAACGCTACGAAAAAAAACAAAAGTTTCAAGGCGTGTACGAACGCGTCCCTTGGAGCCTCGTAAGACAAAATTTCCCCTATTTCGGATTTGCATAACATTTACACCAATCGCGACGACTCCCTGTTTACTATTGATCTAGCGAATAAACCAACACATAAAGGTGTATTCAGACGAAATCCCGATCATACAGTACCACAATAATACCGAACAAGTTCAGCAATGCGACAGGCATGTTTCATTTTTTTTAGACGAGCATTATTCAGATTACCTGTGTATTTCTGGTGATTATCCGAAGCGGAGAACTTATTCCTTTATTAGCAAGGCAGCTAAAACGATGATCTCACAAAAAGATGAGTAATAGCTGCCTCCGTGCTGTGATTGATAAGCAGCTATTAAAATATATCCGACCTTGTCCCAGCTGATCGCTGTACCCCGCAAAACTCGCTTTCAAGAAATCTAAATAACCCGGAAGAAAACTACCGTTTGACCTAACCCTGTGATGTCATAAGCTCGCAAACTGTGAGATATTTTTTTAATATAAAGCACATTTTCTCTATTATTGCCAACGATTCGAGACGATAAAACAAAGCCTACGTGTCCCACATTTCATATGCTGTTTATAGTTTGTATAATCTTCAAACGATGCATTCTGATTATCTCTCAGTCTGAATTATTTGAGAAAATATTGCGAGATTTACGAACAATTAAACCGTTTTTTAATTATTCAAAATGGCGCGACTAGCAAGGTAAGCATGTTGGATATTTCGTCAACACTTTTTAGTTTCGCTTACGCGATGGCCGTTACCATACCATAGTTACCATAGTGACTTAGCTATTGTGCTGTGATCATTTTTAAATTTCAATAATAGTTCAAAGTTCTTCTTTACAGCCATGGATAATTCGGTGATTTAGATGTTCACTGTTTTACACTCGTTGCCATTTCTGACAAAATGTCCTAAGCTAATATGGAGACAACTGAATCCATGATTATTGTGTGGGAATTGGGACGAAAAGGCTTTACTGTAAAAACATTTATTTTCACTGACATTTCACTATTTTGACATTATGAGCATTTTCACTGTTTTAATTTCACAAATTTGTCAAGGAAACAATGAGTTTTATTGTTAATTTACATGTTCACAAATAATTTTAGCGATTTTTTTCTTATCAGCGAAAATAGTGAAATCTAAACCGAGTGAATAATTTTTACATTTACAGTATTTGATTGCTGGTAATTTTGCAATTTTTTTGAAAGCGGGGGGGGGGGGGGCAACAACGAAGCTCTGTCGGTGGCTTTTTATGGTTAGTTGAGTTATGTAGTTATAAAGCAGTAGATACAGCCATGAGCTACCGGGGTACTTGTGTATTTTTGAGGGTGACACAGGTATCAAGATTTTCAGCCATTTTAGCAAAATTTGGGTAATTTTTTGGCGAAAGGTGTCCCAATGTCAACATTTGAGGATTCAGTTTTCAACTGTGGAGCACCTCCACCGAAAATCCAGTCGAGTACACCTCTCTTTCTGGGGGATCACCAATGGTGAATTGCGTTCATATTTATTGCAAATATAAAAGATTTATGTTTGGGGAGTTTGAATAAATAATAAATAGAGAGTGTGTATGCACATGCAGTTCTGATGTGTGTCCCTGCATGGAGATTCATGGTCCCTATAATAAGTCACATCCTCATCGCATACCTGTACTCCAGTATGGCTTATCTACACTAAGTATAACATGCTGTTTAGTCATAGCACTTTATAAAGCAAGCTAAAAATAGATCATAATGTGCATGTGATGCGTGGTGTATTTTAGTATATTTGTCTAGGATAAATCAAGGGTCAAAATTTGAAAAAAATACCTTGTTGTCAAGCAGGTCTACAACAAGAAATGTGGTTGTCCGGTAAAGCCTTCGTGCTTACTGAAAACTATTATGTGTTTTGTTTGGAATTTAGTTTCACTGATTTTTGATGAGGTGAATTTAAACAAAATAAAAATGAATATTTTTTTTTACTCAAATTGTTTTTTAAATATATATTTTTTTAATATGAGATTGGCATATAATTTCAATTTTTGTGTTCATATTCACAGTTGTCTCGAACAGTTTACTGATGTGGTTGCTACCAAAACCTTCCATCTTGGTTGTCAGGGACATCTGTACAACTACAAATTCTTTCAAATGTCTCTAAATCTTTATCTCTATATAAATGCATGGCATGTAACATATTTACTATAAACTATCAGTAGTTTATTTTCGCTGTGATTTTTTTTCATGACTCTCCCTAAAGCGATGATTCAGTGAAAATAAAATCTTGTGAAAAAAACTTGTTTCCGATGTTTTACATTCAACTCAGCAAAATTCAGTGAAAATAAATGTCACACAAAACACCAAAATGTCTTTTCAGCGAAAATTATTTCCAACTAAAACAAAGTATTTTACAGTATGTTATTAGAGAAATAATTCTAATAGAATCACACATAAACCAGAAATTACAAGATTAATTTACAAAACATTACAAAAATTAGGGAGCACCTGCAGCGTAGATTTCAAACTCTGTTTTTTCCATTTGGCAATTATAATTAGGAACCACTGCCAGAGTCACTGCGTACATCATAAAGGCAAGTTAAAAATTCTTAAGGATCGTATTCCCAGATTAACACCAGTTATTCATTATGCACAAAAATGTAATTCTCAACTCTGATGAATTGACCAGTTACTGTGAAAAATCTCTGCTGCGAAAGATACTCACTATGAAAGTAATTTACCAATAAGCCACTCATTACAAAGCTACTAGTTAGTGTTATGGGAAAACATTTCATGAAATTGAAACTACACTGAGTATCGCCCTAAACAAGTTTCAGTTAGAAGTAATATTTGTTTGTAAATACTGAATGTGGAAAAGTAAACTAGTGCAACATACCCGTGAATTGTGTGCAGTTGGATCCCGGATATTGGTATGAAGTGAAGACTAAAACAGTAAATGCTTAAATGAGTTGTGTGTGAACTTTCCCCTCCACTATCAGAAAATCTTATTGTGTCCAGGATTGTGTTTACACGACTGTAATTAGCACTAAGTGCGCATTCCTTGTTGATTACAATATCAACTTGAATTCAGGCGATGATGTCATCACGTCATCTGTGATTCTACTGCTACTGCATTGTGATTGGGAGATCAGATGAACACTGACATTGAACTTCTTACTTTTTATGTGCATTCCACTTTAGACAAATATGACCCTTGAAAGCTTAAACCGCGGGTCTGAGTGTATAAAAGGAAAGATGGCCGCCACTTTTCAGTATGCAAATGACACTCAAGCGTGAAACACCTCTTCGGGGTGCTCCGCAAAATCACTCTTTTCGGCAATCTTAACGCCTGTGATGCTTTATTTTCATGTCGTACACAAACGTGAATATGTCCGCGATACAACTGCGATGTTAATTTACGAGTTCGGTGCGATGTCAGTGTGATTTGCGCGTAAAAGCGACGGAAAAGCATGATTCAAACAGTCGCTTTGACTGCTAAAACTGGCTGTCAGTCATGGGTTTATGTAAATGTAAGGTGTTAATTCCGAGTTGTTTGTTCAATCTCTAGGTATGTTTATGTAATTACGGAGTTGATCATGTAAGTAATATCGTGGAGCTAATAAGAAATGATATGCTGTGAGCTGTTTGTCCGTCCGTTCATCTCAGGGGACATCGTCGGCGCCCCACGAAGCGGTCCGACCCGAGCGAGTGCGAATCGA